CCAACAAAAGAATGAAAAAAAAATCGAAAGTCCAATAGGTAAAACAATGAAATTTTCGAAGCATAATTAACCGAAAAGAAAAGAACAAATTTGTACTTCATATACTGTAACGTGTCCGGCACATATATACATCCCATCCACCGCCAAAGTTTAAAGCTAAAAATCAATGCTTGCCCTCAATAATTCGTTATTGGAACCACCGTTTTGACCGACTGCTACCGATTGCAAATTCAGCTTTCTGAAGGCACTTCACAAGTGATAAATAATAAAAATAAGATAGTATTTGGAATTAATAAAACGTTCATATATAATGAGTCCTTTATTCAAATTTTGAGTGATTCTGCCAAGTGGTTAACTTTTGAAGCGAGAAGTCGGAGTTAATCACACCCATTTCAGATTAATTGGAAGGCAGCGATAAAATTTACTGACCCGTTTGGTCAAGCACTCGTAGAAGATGCCTTGTTTCAATTAGAAAATTTTTTAATTAAACACAAGTCGACTTATAAAATCACACGGGCCTGACCTCACCAAAAGCATTGATACGAATTTGATGAAAATTAGGTAGCTTTTACACGTAAGCAATTGGTGAAGGTTAAAATTGTTGTCACAATAGCTTTTTCCGCAATGCTGCTTATGTAAACTTTAGCTTCTTTAGTTTCAACCCCCAAATGAGGAGAGCGCGAATGTCGTTCACATTTTACATGAATGTTAGCGGCAAAAAAAAAAGAGGTTTCTCGCCCTAAGCATGCCAGCGAACTACGCAGATAAACCGATATGAAAGCTAAACGGTTTTAGCGCAACGAACACAAGGTGTAGTTTTAACGTGATAATAGTGCGAATCCCAGGCTACAGTGTGCAATGCAGCAACACGTGTCCAAAAGAACTAACGTAATGCGGCATTGTTCCTCCGACGCCTGACATGCAGCCCGTCAGACCGCCGCTAGTTTAGAAGTTAGGTTCCAGCGAAATGTCGAGTCACTTAGTCGCGCTCGGCAAGCGGGATTCCCATGAAGCTGTCGTTTCGTTGCAGCAAACGGTCATTGTAACGCTTATATTTAGAGCATGACAAGCAAAACATAAGCGCACAGCACGACAATAAGGAACTCAGTTTTATTATCGAGTCGCATATGACAAATAAATGTAATTAAATAATATATTGCAAGGACTGTACGCGATTCGATTTCACAATTATCAGCGTCGCAACTCCATAGTTTTATCAACATTGGTCTAACTCAAGAAAGTTGCCTCTTCAAGAGAAAGGCAACTTCCTTTACGTACGTCATACAGTCATTTAGATGACCAAGCAGAGGACATATTTGAATGCATTGACCGAAACTATATTTATTCTCCATCTTCGGCTAAATAAGAGACAGTGTGTTTACACTCTAATTATTAATAATAACTAATTTAATATATTTACTACGTAATATTGCCAGTAGCGTTTCGAAGGACAAAAATAGATTGTGTAATATATAATTCGAAGTGGTTATGTGTAAATTCATCACAACATTCGTTTCTTCTCAGGAAGCAAGTGCTAAATGAATTAAAAAGTCGACCTTATAAAAATAAATTAGTCTTCTGTGCACAAATAGGAAGAGGTGCAGTGTGGGTTTGCCCTCTCCATCTTGCATCACAAGGAGTCACTATGACCTACACGCACCCATTTTTAGACACGGGAATTTCCGTGCAAGATATTTCTATGCCATGTTTGAGGATGATACTACACTATCTGGTGATCATTGTGCTCATAATTATTTTCCCTAAGAATATGAACCGCGGGTAAATTTAAAGATTTCCCTTATTTGATATATCTGAGTTTCGCCAATGAATAAGCATAGAAAAAATAACGATTTTTTGTCAGAATCACATCTACTATTACCTTCCTTTGCTGTCCTAGAATTTTTTTCCTACCTTGGATATCACAGATAAAAAACTTGTATGATTAGATGCAATAAAAATTCGGTTAATTCATATGCCAACAAAATTCTTGAACATAATAATTTTAGGTACTATTTGTAATTATGTAATTCACGAGTATAATAATGATTAGCTGTGACGTATCTGACGAAATAACTTGAAATTACTTAATAAATTATCGCATTAAAAGCGGTAATTCATTTAATGTTATAAATTAATTAATATTTGAATTGAATAACATCATCCCGAAATTAATAATAAATAATTAACTGACAATCATAATAATTCATGTACATGAGCAGATGAAAAATAACTCATTTTTAATGTATTTTAAACTAATTCATGTGCGAAAACGCTTGGAATAAATGCTTTCTGGAAGCTAGCACGACGGCAGAAGCCTTATAGCTGTTCTTTCTGCATAAGGCTAGCCAACCCTCGACCAGAAAGGTCAGATTAGAACACCTAATCCCTAAAAATATATGAAATTTACGAAACTGTGCATTAGATAACATCTGATACTCGTAAGTCCAAGCGAACATTTCTTCCGAAATTATCAAATTATGAAATTCTGGTGCTCCATCTCTTTATTAATGTTCAATGAAGCCGGCGAGCATCCTCGCACTGCCATTGAAAGTTCAAGCATTACAAGAATGGTTGAGCTTGTGTTTATTAATTTTCTACCCGAATTAAGAATAATTATGAGAGGGAAGGCCTGAATGAAAGAGATTGCGTGATGGAGGAATACCGCTCAATTTTGTCCCCTTCCAGAACTCGTTTAAAAACGAGGTAAACGGGACGGTACTGTTAAAAGTCCGAGTGGCGTTAATAACTCTTACTTAGCAATTTCCGAGTGCAATTTCGAGCTTGAAATCGTTTCACGAATATTAGAGTACTTAATTTACAAATCAGTGGTTGGGAATATCCAAATTTTGTATAATCGGGAACAGCAGCCACACTAAATTTCTCTGAGTTCAGCGTGAGAGCAAAAAACTGCAGCAGCGAGTGTTCGTGGTTTGTTGCTGTAGTTATCAGAAGTTCAGCAACCTATCATCTGGCATTTCTCATGCTCCTTAGCATCAACAAAACATGTTTGTTATCGAAAAACAGAGATATACAGTATACTGTCGAAATATTTGGGCAGATATTTTCCATAGAAATTAACACGTGAGTCGCAGGTGATAGAGACTCGCCCATACTTAGGTGATCGGCAATTCGAAGTTCCATTAATAATGAAAACCCAAATTGTTGAGGGTGTATGTTTGAATCATGACGGTTTGAAATATTTAATTAAAATAGCCCATCTGCACTAATTAATTTATTCGTTAAAACGTACTTCACTAAAAACGTGCTTCACAAAAACCTGCCGATCCCTCAAGCTATATAGCGGACGGCATTTGCTTAAACGAGGCAGCTGAAAATAATTCACTATTTTGTACGGAGTGTCAAGAGAGACTGGTTTGTTTACGGCAGTAAAAGTGCACCAGCTTATGCCAGCTGGGGTTCTTTTAAACTATAGGTCTTCGTGAGATGAACGCTTCAAGAACCGTGAGTAAACCTCCGATTATTTTGACACCAATACAAAAATATGCTTTGAGTGAATATACACAGCATGGAAATAAAATTTCATTTTGTTTTATATTAGCATAAATATATTTATATAATGAAATAATATTAACCCCCGGACTAATTGAGTGGCTTTGTCTATATGAACAGAAGCTAATTATTTTAAGTCGTAGGGAGATCGCGATTCGAGATATGATTTGCGAGTAATAGGAGCGTTTGTTTTATCTCCTCATAATCAACACCTAAAGAGTAAAGACCGCTCGGCATTACTGAATATAGGAGATTAAGATTGAGGAAAGTTAATCCCTAAAAATCCGTTGCCATGATATTAAATAACTCACTGTTAAGCCAAGTACTTACAACCGCTTCCGTCATCCAGCAGAAGTGTCAACCGATTAAAATGTGGCTGCAATAATAATTCAAAATAGATAAATCACTCATAACTGGAAAATAAAATTAATTACATTTAATTTTTTTAGTTTATACATGGCGGAGGATAATAGACGGTGAATGGTACCTCATTTCATAAAAAAATTGAAGTCGCCAAACATAGATAAAAACCAGATGCTAGAAACGAATTCGAGAAACTGTCCGTCACTGATAGATAATGACGTCGGTCCACAAAAGAAAACATCAATCAATTCGTGTTGATCGTGCGCAGGACGGCCCGGTGTGTTTTCTTAGGAAACTGTCAATCGAGCTGACGGCAGAGGCCGCAAAAATCACACACCTACTTGACGACCGACACTGCTCCTTGTTTCATGCGGCTTAAGTTTGATCTCGAACAATCTTTGTGCACGATGATTAAAAGCTAAATAGTAATTGTCAACTTGCTTGGTATGATTGAGATCCCGATCAGGCAAAAAAATGTTGAATCTACCAGCATTTGGGAGACTTAAATTATTTTCGACATTTCTTCCCCATAAAAGGTTGTAAATTATATTGACTTTCTTCTTCACAAAACATTTGCAAATAAATTCTCGCGAAGACGCACTCACGCTCGAGTTGAAACAATATATAAATTGTAAGTTACAGATGCGTGGTCTCATGAAAAATTGGCTCATGTTTGTCTATCAACAGCTAAAACTGTCAGAACGGATACGATGCCGATGGCTATGCAATTGTTTGCATGTGAAAGCTTTGCTGACCATTATATATTGGCCTCGAGATAGGAGAATATTCTTATCATAAGGAGAATATCATCAAATGTTATGTTGAGAAATACTGAAACGTCGCTAGAATTTTTAGATGAATACTGGAATAAGTATCACTGCAATTATTGCGTGCATCAAATAGCAACTTCAGTCGTCATCCTGAATATTCATGTGCACACGGGAAAGCTGTCGTCACGCATCCCTGACAGCACCACGCGAGCATCTGGCGAGTACGTGGAAAAAGGGCGGCTGCCTGGCAAACGAAGCTGGAAAACAAACACCTTCGAAAGGTAGACCAGAAACCAGACGAATAGACTAATCGGAGGAATAATATGACTAACAATTCTCGCCTTATGCTATACGCACCAACTGTTTTGAGGACGTCGAAGTCGTCGAGTGTGTGATCCTCTTCATATTCCCCCAATAGGGTGCCCAAGGTGCCTCTTCTTTTGCCAGGTATAGACATCTTTATGTTGGTGTCAGGTAATACTCAGGCGAAATAAGTTTCAGCTATGTATTGTTTTCAGTTTCGCAAAAAAAAATACAATGTAGGTACGTTTCAAGCACAGTTCAAACGGTTTGCAAACAAATGAAGTAAATTATCTATCAGAGGAGCTAATGCGCAGTACCTGTAAATCCACCATAGCTTAGTTATCATATTATTGTCGATAGCTTGAGGAATCTCCTTGAAAATTAATGCTCTTGCGAGGCAATTGTTATCAACGAGAGTCGAGACCGAAACAGTAAATAACTAATTGTTGATTGGGGTCAGAAATATCTGTTCAGTCTACTATTGCTTCAGTTTATATCAAAGAAAGGCACTCACTCCGTTTATAAAAAGCACTGTTTTATTATGGTAGATTTAACATATTTATATAACAGTTCAGAAATTAATAACCAACGAGTTTCCACTCAAAATGATTTCCCCGCGTCTTCGAAGTAAGAAAATCAATACATAACCGCAAAGCGCCAAAAAAACAAATAGTCGAACGTGTGCTCAAATAACTTTTTACAATCTTCACATTATAAAATAACGTGTGAATGATACCAGCATCTGGAATAAATATCGCAATGAAAGAACACAGATGGTTTCTCGCTGGAATAATATTACTTCAAGTAAGCACATTTCATCACGTGCTGAGTTTATTAAGTACTGAGACTGGTGGCGTCGTGTTTCATGTGGCAACGCTTGTGAAGCGGGGCGTGGAGGGGAGGAGCTGAACATGATGCGCGGCATGAGTTAGGTGTCACTGAGTGGCTGAATCCTTTTAAATAGCCAGTGGTGGTTGTTAGTGAAACAAGTCAACTGTATGCATTGTTGAAAATATTTTATTCCGTTTTGACGCACTCTTCGTCATCCCCAATTCACTTGTCAAAATCTGATGAACGGTCTGGTGACTATAATTCAACAATTACTGTATCATTCAAACAATTGAGCAAAGTTATAAAAGCACATGGTTCCGACTTATGGTGACATTTCCAGTGGTTTCTCGCTCGAGGCTCATTCATACGACTCTCTTCCGTATGAAAATACCTCTAACCACGGAGAACCTTTGGCTGATGACAAGTACTCTTTTCGAGATTGCTGAAGAAGTCATGAAAATATTTTCGTTGAACTTTATACCAAGATCAAACAAAACCTGCTACCTCACCGTTGCACGAAATTATTTGCATTGCATAAAATCAAAATCTCAAGCAAGAAATGCTACCTACCTCGAAATTATCATAAAATATCAAAATGCCAGATCGCTGCTCGAAATAATTTTTACTAATTTCAGAACACATACTAAACTTGTTACACTAAACAACTCTCAACAAACAACTGAGGACAATAAACATGACTCAGCGACTTCTAAACCTAACTGATGGCGCTGATTGGCGCATAGCATACGAATTCTGCTGCTCCGCTCGGCTCGTGTCCAGCTTTTCCAGCGTGCCAAATTTAATACCAAATAAGTTTTTATGTATACTTATTTTATGTACCCAGCATCTCAAGGATAGTTTAAACTTTAAAGGTTGGTCATCGAATTAAAAATCCAACACAACTTTGCCAACAGATTAAATATTGAGTAGCTGGGATCATTATTAAATAGTTTTTGCAGCTAGCAACAACTCTCATATATTGAAGCTAGCCCGAACATTGTGGAATCCTTATCATTTTATTATCAAGGCTACCTTAAAGATTCAATAATTTAAGTTAGACTAACCGCTGATGCGTTTAATGCAGCATTTATTCTACCTCGGGTTGCGTTTATCTATCGCTGATGTTCGAGGGTTTATCCATTTGACTTCGCCTTATCATTAACTGAAGCGTCTTGTACGTCTATTTACCGGAACTTTCAGACACGTTCATTTTTAGACTATGAGTGAACATAGATTTATCAAGCCTTGTCTAAACATCAGTAATTATAGCTTGCACGGAAATGTATACATTGCTCGGATAAAATTCGCATTAGAAATTTAATTAAATTATTTATATTTTCCGTCCGGATAGTTGAATGAATGAAGATAAATAAGGTTTTTGATATTTCCTATCTAAATAGTTTCTAATAGATGACATTAAATATTGAACAAGCGTTAGCATGGACGTTCTAAGCAACCACACAGAACCGGCGGCTCTAAGGCAGTGCCTCTGAATACACAGGGGTATAATTGATTATGCTCTTCCTTGCTATTTATTACTCGCCAAGTCACTGCAATGGCGACTAAAGTCATCTCTATGCAGCGTTAAGTCATCTTAATGCTGGCCAAAGTCATCCAAAATTTAAACAAGTCACCCGATTGAGCTGTAATTATTGCTAGGCCATATACGCGTCTTACTTTTAACAAATTACAAAAAAGAATTTATTATTCCAAAAAATGGAACTAAAACAAAATTAGTACTACATCACGAACAATGAGACCATTCATGTCTGATCAATAAGAAACACAGAAAACGACAACAGAAGTACTCAAGGTAATTTGCAGAATTTCTCGGAAAAGAACTTCGAGACCTCAGCGCTAGTGTCAAAAGGATTATTGACAGAATGACTATGGTGACAGAAAAAAACATTCCGATATGTCAGACATAATGACATAAGCCGACTCGTATTCCGAGTTAATAAAAATTGTGCAAAACGGCAAAGGACGATTTCGACTAAGGTTATGTCACTTATGTGTAACAGTGTACGGTTGCAGCTCATCACCTCGACGACCTCGCATTATCCTCTACTCCCCAAATCCTACGTCACTACTGCAGTTGTTCTGGCTCCATGCACAGTTTAGAGGCCAGACACCGTGTAACTCGATCCTAGTTAACAGTAAATAGTAGAGGTCAACACACTAGGTTGTCTCTCCAATACTTAATATCGGCCATTTCTATGCAAATAAGACTTTCGGAGCTTTTCGAAGTACATTTATTAAATTACAAAAATAGATAAGGTGAAAATAACATTGAGATCACATTAAATTTTCCTACTCCCGATTGCGTGCCACTTTCTTTCTTTCAGAGACAGAGATTATGCTATCTTATTTTTTTTAACATTATTGTGTCAATTTATCAGCAATGTAGGCAAAATTCACATAAACGAAGGACTCTGAGCAGTGAGCAATGGAACAAACTTTAATAAGTACATGGGTAAAATCACACAAAAAATATTACCATGACTGAGCTCGTGAAAAGCCAGTCGAGATTTTCACAGAACGATTACCAAATCAACCTGATCGTATGATGGTTCATCAAGATTTACTGCACGAAACTTCAATCATAAACTTTAGGACTCAAGAATGAGACTAGCAATGGCATCTCGGGAAAACAGAGAGTAACGTCCGCTTGTGAGAAAAGTTTCTGCAGGCTCGTAGACAGTGACAAGAAAGTGTATACGGCACCCTCACACTCTGGTGGACGATCAACGACTGAGTAGCTGCTCACCTGCTGATTGTGATTATAGGCAAGACGGTCACCCAAGTTACCTGCCGCAACTACTAAAAAACATCCACATAGCAAGTGGATGAAAGCTTTATCAATAAAACTTATAAAAAAAGTACTCAAGCATCAACTCACTCCTCCTGGCGGTTGGTAAAACCAAAGCAAATCAATCAGCTCATGGAAAAAGTCTATCAAAATTGAGGGATTTCCGTTGCTAGCGTTTCAAAAGTTTGTTGATAGCGAACCGAGAATGCGTGCAACCTTGAATTAAATAGGCCTATCCTTTATTCAGGGATTCATGAGTCCAGAGATCAATCCAAGGTTCATACATACAGTCCATAGTCCGTTTTATGCGATTTGTTCATATTTTTGGAGTTTAATTTCAAGAAATAATGGTGTTGATATTAAAGAGCGCTGAAATAACGAGTCATTTTCTGACTCGCCAGTTGATAAGAAAGTCAGCTGATCTTGCGCAGTGAACTATTTGATGTCAAATATGGATCGAAGTGTCTTTCGGTAGATTGTCATCATGTCTAACATTAGCGTTTTTTCGAAAATACCTCACACTACTCCAATTCAAACTCATTTTCATTTGGTGAGAGTTATATCGATCAATATAAACATTTGAAGTAACAAAATGCCGTGAAATATTTCAAAATATATTCAAAAATTGTAAGGTTTTCTTTTACTCAAATGAGAACAATAAATTTCGCTTTCATTTAATTTCAGCTTATGACTAAGGGCATTGCTGTTTCAACATCAGTCATGCTGAGTCCATTCCAGGCATCATTATTCTTTACAGTTTAGACAAGGCATAATTTCTCTTATCCCCCATCTTCGTCGACGAGTCGAAATGTAAGGTCACAGCCAAACACTAACCTAACTGCTTGACAGGGTTTCCACCAGCTGCGATAAGCCCACTCATCATGATCTTCATCGATTACAAACGCTGCAATTCATCAAAAAGCACAGCTGTTTCTCATACTCCAACCAACGCATGCACGTTAAATTATGAAATTCAACGTATTGAATATAATTTTGGTAGCTCATCTTTAACGAACACGCGAGCCTCGCCTCGACGTCCGTCTTCAAATGCATTCGACAGTGAGAAGAATTATAAGCTGCATTTTCTCATTTATGGAAAAAATGTTCTATTGTGCTCGTCATGACCGTCTGTCTGTCCGTCCGTGACCTCAAGTTTTCGTCGACGAGAAAATGTGCTCGCTGTCACTCACTGCAGTGAGTACGGATTTGAATTTTTTTACAATTGGCTCAATTACTACGCTGTTGGGACTACAAGAGACAAAATAATTGGATCGAGCTCATCGAAGAATAGTATATAATAAACTTTACAGTAATTTTGCGTAAACATGCATCACATGTATTAAGGTTATCATTTATCAAGATTTATTTACGCGTGATTATCCGCGTACAATAGCACACAGTATTCGTATGTAGTGATCTAATTCAACGGAAAGTTCATTCCGGAGTTGCTGAGTAACAGGGCAAGATGCATGCCAGCAGAGTAATTTTATATAATTATCTGTACGACGCATGGCAGAAGAACAAACGACCGACAGCAGGGGTAATGAATGCACAGGAAACTTTCCAGAAAACTTTATTTAAAAAAGACTTAGAGTGGGTCTGGAGCTTCCTCGGCCTCTTCCACGTTGGAATCCTCGACCTCGGTCACTTCCAAATCCACGACTACCCCGTCCTCTATCTCCACCAAAGCCTCCTCTTCCCCGATTGCCTCCAAATCCACCTCTCCCTCTGCCTCCACCGAATCCTCCTCTACCTCTTTCCCCGCAAAATTTACCTCTACCTCTGTCGCCACCAAATCCTCCTCTACCTCTGCCTCCACCAAATCCACCTCTTCCCCTTCCATCACTGAGCCCACCTCGTCCTCTAGATCTTCCCCCAAATCCTCCCCTGAAGCCTCTATCATCACCGAAGCCTCTCCCTCTATTGCTGAACTGCGAGTCTCTGTCTGAGCCTACTCGGTGTAACGCAGAACCACGAAAGCTCCGCGACGAGCCAAAAGAACCATCTTCGTCAGAACGATTGTATTCCTCCTTATCGTCATCAGACTCGAAGCCTTCTTCGCTCGCAACGCCTTCGTCGTCCCAGCTGTCGTTACCATTATCATTTGCATTGTCTTCTTCTTCCGAATGAACAGGCGCTTCTTGTACATATCCAGCGTCTAAATCTTCTACATGAGCGGCCTTCGATTTCTTTTTCTTCTTCTTCTTAATTTGAGTCTCGTTCGTTCCTTCATCGTCAGAAGCCATTGAAACATCGCTATTATCAAGAGTAGATCCGATTGCATCGTCACGTTCTTCTTCAGATTCTGATGAATCAGACGAAGAATCATTTTTGGCCTCTGGCTTTTCTTCTTTAATGGGTTGAAGAAAGTTCAGAATGGCCATGTCGTCGATATCTTCCTCTTCTTCGGAACCCAGCCTGGATATAAGTATTGAATTAATAAGAATATAACATCGAAATTAATTGGAAAATAGTATTAGGCACATAAATTATGGTTTAACCCTACGCCTTTGTCGACTATAGCTAACTCAAATTACAAAGCCATTAGATACGAAAGCATTGAGGGCGGTTAAATTAAGTTATCCGTAGACACAGTGTTAAATTAATGATCATGATGAGCGGCGGAGCTGAAGTGGTGAGAGACAATGTCTCTCGCACCCAGTGACCCGTATTCGAGTCCCATTTATACGAGCATTTATATTTTTAGCAACTTAATGTATTTTTTTCAATGATGAGGCAGAAAAATTCAAGGACAATATTTCATTTCAATAATTTCCCTAAGGACTCCAATGCGAGGTCAAGCAGTATACAGCAACTGTGAGTGATACTGAAGTAAGGTAACTGAATAAACTATATGCAGAATCTACTACAGAGAGCAGTAGGTATCATCCTACCTTCACTTGATTATCTCAAATCCAATCTTCATCGTGTCCCTCAATCATTTCTGACGGGACTTTCCATTTGAATTCTAACTAAATGCCATTAATTTAGTAGAGCAATAGTTCCATTTTGATTATTCGAGCAAATGCAGTGATTTTGTGGCCTAACCCTCTGTCTTTCCCGCATAATGACTTGAAAGAATAATCCAACCTACACCTGTCTCGTATCCGAGATACCAGTCCATTGCTAATTATCACTTAGCAAGCACGCAGCTGATAGCCATCTCTTCAAGCTTACCGGCAACGTCTTTATTTACTTCAATATCTCACTTCTTGTCTATTCAAATTCATCTCCACGAGCCAGTAAAGAATTGCTAAGTGATCTGGAGCTGGCAGTGGTTGCCATTTGGGCAGTAAATAGGCCACGACAGAGCACACTGGTACAATTGCTGATACACTGGGCAAGCTTTTACTACTCTTCGGGGGCTATCGGACCGAACACAAAGAGCCTCCCGTCAGCATGGGATACCAGTACGATGAGGCTCAGGGGTCGAGGACCAGCTTTACTCGTCATTGAACAAATCGGCTCTGCATTCATGGAGTTATGCTATGAGAACTAATGCGCAGTGCTCAGAAAAGCTTATTCATGATGCCTTGACCCTTCATCAGAGGGCAGAATCTCCACTTGTGTCCAAATAAAGAACTCAACTAAAATTATGTTATCTATTTAATACTGTACTATTCGATTTTTACTAACCAGTCTTCATCAGCACCTAGTCTCGCTATCTCTAAATATTCTAATCCCTTTCAATACGGTAGCTAGGATGGCTTGCTAAGCATCTTCAATCTAAGTACTGATTTGATAAATTAAAACGAGCGTTTATTCCATTTTCGCAAGCGTGATTCTGATTTTCTGTTGTTAACCGGCAAGTGGTTCAAAGCTCGACAAGCGCGCCAGTTGCTAGGCACTGCTATCCTCGGCTCCCGAGAAGCAACTTTTGGATCATTGATAAATATATAAAAGTCATTCTATTGATCTCTTTCCAGACGGCCTCATCGTCTGTGGTTTTCAACAATAGGTACTCAAAATTCGTTCACTGTGTGAACGATGAACATCGTTCACTAAGATATTCATTGCTCGATTGATACGATCATTTATTCCCATGTGCATCTTTTTGGCTAAATTGTTCTGTTGCGTCTGGCGAAGCTGCGCTTGTACCATTAGAGTCAGACCTTCCAGCCGTTGGAACAACGTAGTGCAGGGTCAGGTCCGAGGCTCCGAGCGGCTGTGAGTCGGGGTCAGTTAGTCGTGTCCCGCCCGCCCTACAGTGAGGTTCATACGTGAACCCGCTCAGCTCTGTCAACTCTCAGCATTCTTTGCTTTAACGCTGGAGTCGTGGCTGTGCCGTGAGGATTCAAGTGTTCTAACCATAACTACGTGCATTAATGCTGTGCAATAGTGAATAGAATTGAACGTCTATAATAATAGTGATTTTAGTCGGAATTTACGCTTTCCCTTTACCACGTTTTACTGTGATTTCACAAATAAACTATTTATCCGGTTTGTGTAAAAGATTTTAAACAAAGTGAATCAATAAACTATTTTCAGTGTGCTTTGTCGTGATTCTATTCCATAGCCACTGAACCGGCTTTAACTGACGATGACTGGGAGAGTTGAACGGCATTGTAGGTTAGATGAATGAGCACAGTTGCCTGAAATTTATTCATATATTGTCCTGGCCTATATGAGCAGTGAGCGTTCGATCCTGATTGTGAATTACAGGCCTAGAATACCGGTACGTTCAGATTGGCTTGGTAGCAGCTTTGGCCGGTGACAACTGTACCTGTCAGTGATGTCAATAGCTTGCACGGCCCGCGTCATAGAGACGAGGGACGCACAGTAATTGATGACGCAGGCGGACTGGTGCAGCGACGCAGCGCGGCTGTAGTGCCGGCTGCTGTAGCTGCTCAACGCTGCTAAGCTCGACGACCAGAAAGGAATCTCGTCCAGCTCCTCGGGAGTACGAGTTGATAACAACAGGTACATGATTTCCTGTTGATATATTTGCTGGCTATTATCAGTTTGCCACTGTGTAATTTCATATGAACGTTGTCGAAGAAGAAAAGGTATCTGCATACTATTCAAAGTTGCGAGAAAATTGTCACAAATACGTGTTGCATTCATTTAACTAATTTCTGGCTTTGAGACAAGTTTACACGATCAGAAACGCATGACAGTTATGGAATCTTTGAACACTAGCATTGTCGTGAACGATCTTTCACTTGGGAACAGTGCATATAAAAGTATATCAATAGATTAGGTTTAAAATAGGCAAATAGCTGGACGACTTGCCCATGGACAGGAATGGCTAACCTGAGCATAGGTGCACGTAGCCGCTCTCGTGTTCCACTTGCAGGCAAATTTGATGAGAGCGCCGAGGTGATGAGGTTCTAGGCTACCTAGAACCTGGCCCAGCCCGACACGTCCTGAGGACCTCAGCAGGCCTTTGATTACCTGAAACAAAATTAGATATTTCACTGATGTGCACACGCCAACACCTTTTGGTGGCAAGAAATTTTCTTCAAGATGCACCATTAGTGAATAAATATGGTTTTCAGTACAATGCAATGGAATCGTCACTGGATTTGTTCAAATAATGCACTCGTAGTGCCTCCTATGAAATTATTACAGCTTTACATTCACGTTATATAGTAAAAGGAATACAAAACGTAAAATGAGTGTTTATTGCAAATAGACTTAAATTATGTCAAGCTAAGTTAACAGCAGTAGAAAAATTTGAGTCGTACCTGTCCCAAGAACATATCGATAATTTTTTTCTATGAAACCATTATTTTCACATTTAAATAATATTTTAGAGATTAGAGAATTGAGGCAGATAGGACTAGAGCAAGACTAATCAACTGACAAAAAAGTGGCATCGCAGGATGATAATACATACAATAATTATAAATTATTATCAATCATTTATAAATTATTATCAATCATTGCGAACCAACAGACTGCGATGCATTACCTTGAGTGAATTGAAAGGCTGGTCGAGCTTCAGAGTGAAAACCAAAGCCTCAGCCCATCGTTGCTCCCGCATCAAGTTAGCGAGAGTTTGCTGCTCGCTCTCAATCCTGCAGATTCACATTAGCATCACAAAAACAAAAAAATAATCAAGCAGTTCCCGTAGATGCAGCGACGCTAACTTACTGAAAGTGCAGGAATTTAGCAATAAACTAAAATCTACTGAGCAAACTTTACATAATTTGTAATGGTTATCATAGAACGGCAAGAGAACTTCTGAATTTCCTTAGATTAATGAAGATTGTGAACAAATTTGCATTCACTTTTTCCCAATGTGAACCTACAAAATAGTAACGCAAATAAAAAAATTATTCATATTTGAACACATTAAGCATTGACTTAGAAGTAATGCTTGAAGCAGGTAACAAAGCAACCAATTATTATTAACTCCTCAATTATACAATTCACTTCATACGCAACAATGAAACAACTTGCTAACTCTTATCACCAGCAGCAATCAAAAAACCATGTAGAACATTTGCCAAATACTATGTTCTGCTTCTCTTCAGGCAATCAAGAACCATGTAGGAGATTAGCTTCACTATCTTTTGGTTCTTCTCAGTCAATCAGGAACCATGTAGAACAATAGCTCAACACTAACCTCTGCTTCTCCTCAGGCAATCAAGAACCATATAGAACATTAGCTCAACACTAACCTCTGCTTCTCTTCAGCCTGCTTGGCTAGCACCGTCTGCGTCACGTCTCGCCACACGATGATCTTGGAGTCTTCCCCTCCAGTGACGATCTTCTCGCCGTCGTGCGACACATCGACCGCCCACACGCGCTGCTCGTCGTGAGCAGACAACGAGTCGAGGCACGTGGATGTTTTCACCTCCCAGATCTTCACGATGCCTGACGCAGATGTCGAGACGAGCTGCAGTCCACGGTTGAGCCATGACACGTTCAGTACTCCGCACTCGTGGCCTGACAACGTCTGTGTACAGCATGAATCAGGTCTTAAAAATACTTCAGTGCTTAAATGCATTAATATTAAGCAGCATCTCCTTTTTTAATTAATTAGGATTCACCATAAATGACTCGTATAATAATTTTTTATTGAAACAAAAATTTAAAATAATAAGAAAATCATTTTGAATTTATTATTAAGAAGGGAATAAGGGAATATTCTGACGGCAACCTGACTAAATAATAATCACGACTAATTTTTACCAAACAATTTTTTGAAAAATCTACACCAACATTCACCTGCTAAGTAATCCACGTTTTAAAAGGAAAGTAAAATCTGTAAATAATTTGCAATCCAAATCTGAAGATGTGTCTTCAATCAATTAAAGTAATGAAGTCACTACTCGGAAACTAGGCACACAATATCGTTCGTCAATTCTGCTTATAACTGGAGGCCTGGTGACGCTAGTTACCGTCGATAGACAAAGGGCTAAGTTTTAACCAATAAATATAAGATTAGTACTAAGTTCTAAACTCCAAATATTACTCTTACTCCTATATTAATACAATAATTCTGATTGGACACAAGTCCGACTCACCTTTGCGAGCGTCATGGATTCAAGAAGCCAAATAGCCAGCGTGCCGTCAGCGCTGCTCGAGACGAGGAGTTTGTCCACAGGAGAGAACTGGACGCTCCACACGCCACGCTTGTGTCCCCGCAGCGTGCCTTCCAGGGATAGTCTGTCTCCACTCCATACCTGCACGTAGACACGATGTTATTACTCAAGACCTTAAGATTCTCCCAGGTAACACATACTAAATTTCGTCTAGGGACACCAATTCAAGGCAATGCTGCAAGCCCCACCTACACTCATCATGATTATTGCAAGTCATGTGAGCCTGTCACACATGCCTTATAAGTCATGTGTGAAATTCCAGACTTTGACTGATGTCACTAATGATTCTATTATAAAAACATTGTACGTCACGATTAAAAGACGACTAACATTACTTTGCCAAGCAATCTATTTGTAAAGGTAAAAGTCAAGTAAAAATACGAAACAGAAATTTCTCAAAAACTGTTTTGGTTATATTAGACTACTTCTGTACTTCGTGATTTGAATCTTTTCATTATTTCAGTCATAAAGCATCTTCTTCGATGACTGACTCCTTCGATGATTAATTTACTGCCATTCTTATTATAATTGCTACGGGCAAAAATGCCACACTTTCAAAGAATTGCACACTCTACCTCTATCAAGAGAAAAGCTAAATTCAAGGCAAGCAAGAAAAGGTTTCTTTGGAGGCATGAAAACATTCCTTCAAAACTAAGCAAAACGTTCTCTAAGTTTACACATTTAAGAAGAACACACACCTTAATGGTTCTGTCCTCTGAAGCCGTGGCGACGAGCTTGTCCTTAGGAGCGACGCAGATGCAGTTGATGTCTTTCTCGTGCCCCACTTGCGTGGCAGCGCACACCAGCGAGTTGGGCACCATTGCGTCTGTGGGAAGTGAACTCCAGTAAGTAAAGTATGCAATGAATATATGCTGAACTCGAGGAAGATGGTAATACACTTACGTCCTGAAGTTATCAAGAACGATGGTTTATGAAAATATGTGTGAATTATAAGGGTTTTTTTCATGGATATTCCAAATCAACGAACTACAAGGATACAGAGAATTTATACACAAAAAATGAATTATGAGTAATGATCATGATTTGAGTAATTAGTTTCTATTAATTTTAAAGATGAAACTGATTACAAATTTAGTAGCTTTTATTTTGATAAGAAAAGGTCCAAACTACAAATATAAATATATATTTATTTCAATTCGTTACCAGCATCAGTTCCTTTTTCGCCACTAAAATTCCACTCTACAGCTCGGAGTAGACACAATTAAGCGCTTTAATGAATTGAAAACAGTTTTGGTTCCAAACTAAAAACTATCATCAAGATTTAATTACTTTCTAACATTTATTAAGATACAGCCAATGCTGTACAATGATTAAATGATTATGTTTCAATGCATATTCATAGAGAATTGCTTCCTTTCACTAAGTTATTAATAACGAATTAGAGTACAGAGAACTTGATGTGACTGACCAGCAGACGAGATGAGCTCTTGCTTGATGGCTGCGTCTTTGCTGCGTTTCTTCTTGGCTTCTTCCAGCAGTTCCTTCTTGATGACGGTGAGCTTCTCTTCGTTGATGAGCCACCGCTTGATGCACGTGTCTTTGCTACCACTTATTAGAATGTCTGCAAACAACAAAAATGAGAATAAGCTTAATGTCAAAACCCAAAATTAATTGATAAATTATAATGCTGCGCGAGGCCTGGGAATAAACTTGTATAAAAAATTACCTCAAGATTACATATTGAGTTGAAGGGTACACTAATCTACCAGTTATTCATCATGCTTTTCACGTTATGAAAAAGTTCAGTGTGATACTTTATTGAAGCTATTGCGTTTATCTCGCAAAATTCCCTGTATCGATGGCAGTGCAATTCAATTCCTTTTAGAATTCGTAAGACTTTTACATCGTTTACCAAATTATCCTGCATTTTTTGTCTTGTGTGATGCTGTCAAGTCTGTCCTTCACGCATTCTATTAATGAGAACATAGTAAATAGTTTACCTGACCAACAATACTCAACACATAGTGACATTATTTTCTATTTTCAGTATAAGATTTCAGAGCAGTGTTGCACTCACCCATTCCAAGTGCGATGGCAGCGACGCGGTGCGTGTGGCCGCTCGCCACAGCCACGCACACGGCGTCGAAGTCGTCCGTGACGCGCCACACACGCACGCTCTCATCGCGGGAACTGCTCGCACAAACAAATATATGCTCATGTAGAAATTAAAGATGTAGGTCAATGATGTCACTCCTAACTGTGAATGTTTTCACATTTAATACATGCACGACCTTAGAATTCCAGTTTTCTCAAGCTTTTGGCCTCAAACTATGTTCCTTCAACCTTAATGATGCTCGTAATTCAAAGCTAAACCATTGTCAAGTTTATTGGAGGACTAAAATCACAACCGATTTGGTACACCATTATTCGAAAATGTGGACTCTTATTAACATTCTTGTGCTTGAAAGTAAATCTTCTAAAAAATTAACATTTTCCGCTAACCTGGAGGCAAACACGTCAGTGAGATGCGGATGCTTGGCCAGCGCCATGACGCCGTCCGTGTGGCCGTGCAGGAGACGACAGCTCATGTCGCTCAGGCGGTACAGGCGCAGCTGTCATTAGAAGATAATGTTATACACTCATGACTTCAATGTTTATTCCAGAAGTTAATTGTGTCTAAAGTAAACTTTTATAACTTTATTTACGAGAGATAAAAAAAGTATGAGCAAGGTCCAAAATTCATTGTGGCTCAAAATAACACACGTGGGATGGTGATGTTTATTTTTTGGTGATGTTTCTAGGTGTTACGAATCAAATAAATAAACTAAAACCCACTAATGGTATGTCAACATTATTTCATCGTATTGAATTAAGAAAGCACCGAACATCAAGGTACCTGAGAGCTGTTAGTAGCTACGACCAGAAAAGAATGATCTCCGCCATCAACATTGCACTTCTCTTTCTTCTCTTTTTTCTTCTTGGCGGGAAGGGACGTGACAAAAATTGTAGCTAGCACTTGCTCATTGTATCCACAAAACTGAAAAAAAATGTAGCGAGTTATTGAATACTGAAAAAATGTAAGTCATGCTAAAAAGATGATGACATATATCTTGATATATAGTTGCATTCCAAAGAAATTCTGGAGTTACAAGTAACAATCTGTATATACAAGGAGAACAGCAAAGGGCAAGATCCATGGCGACCACGAGTATTTAGTTTGGAGCAAAAATTTTCATGAAATAGGTAAAATAAGTGAAATTTCTTTATTGGTGATAGAAACATCATCACAATTTTCATGATTTTGGCGATGCACCATTACTGGACGTAAACTCTCATTTGTTTCTTAATAATAGTCAGCAGCTACTGTATTACTTAAAACTAGTTAATTACAATCACCGCCACAAAAAAAAAACGTCTTACCATTTTCCATAGCTTTAGATGCTCAGTGTGGACGAAGAGAATGTTGTTGTCGTAGGAAGACACAACAACAGACTTCAGGGCGGGGCAGAGCATCATGCCAGTGATGCAAAGGCTGCCTCGTTCATCTCCTGGAATGGGCTCCACGAGGGGCTTGGGCGTGCGGAGTACTTCTTTTCCTGAGTCTACTCGCCAAATGCTTAGATTTCCTGGGTGAAAAGCAATGACATGATTAGAAAATATAGTATTACCAAGTACTGTTTCACTGTAATGTCTATAGTAGGTGCTGCTGATCTTGCAGCCAGCTGCAGGCTCCAACGCAAGCATGAGAAACTCCAGTATTATTTTAGAAATGCAAATTGCTTTTCCTCTTCCCCTTGAAAACTTTGAGTTGGACATAAATCTCGTTTGCCACACACCAATTTTTTAGCTTCAGCAGTACACTCCAAGATGTTTCACAAAGCTAGAGTAAAATTGGAGGCCTAAAAAACCATACACGATGATACAAGTCAGTAAATCGTCATTCACCTGTTTCTCCTCCCAGTAAGACTGAGACACCTTCAGTTTCATCTGTCTTGGGTAGGACGACAGCAGCTCCCACTGCCTGACCCACCATCACCACCTTGACTTGTTCCATTGGTGCAGCATTCCATAAAATAACAATACGGTCCAGTCCGCAGCTCACCAGATGCTTGCCATCTCTTGTAACCTCAATGCAAGTTATGTTCATGAAGTGAGCGCTGTCAAACTTGTGCACCAACTCGGAGCTGCCAGCGCTGAGCTTCCAGGCACACAGCACGGTCATGACACCAGCATAGACATATGGATTTTCTTGCAAGTTTGAATGAAAAGTGACGCATCTGTGGACCAAAAATGTAATTATTTATAGTTATAAGGAAGCTGAATGTAAATTTATTCAAGGTAACATAATGAAAATTCGTCTAGGTAATATTTCTCATTCAATTTCATATCTTAATTGAAACAACCGTGAAAATGAAAAAAAAACTAAACATGATTGTTTAAAATACACATCACAGCAGCAAAGTTAAAGGGTGACCTACCCAAATACACCAACAGTATCTCTGAGGCTGTGAGTTGAACATGATCTTCTAGTGTCCCAAACACGAGCAGTTTGATCAGCAGAGCCACTCACAACAAGCGTTGATGAGAGGTCCCAGTCAAGGCATGTAATGTGAGCTCTATGATATGAACGAAATTGTTTTATAAGTGTTCTGTCTGGCCATGAATAAAGTTTCAACAGGAGTGTTTTGGTTGCGATTATTAATTTGGTACCATCAGGAGAAAGTTTAAATGATGTCACACCATCAGCTTCATCCATCTCAATCCTGGCATTTTTGAAAGCATCTTCTGGGCCTTCATCTTCATCATCATTTTCTGGTAAAGACACAATATCCTTGTTTTCAATAGTTGCAGTTACATTAGGATTTTTCTTAGCAGCTTGTCCAGTTGACACATCAACAACTGCAATGTTGGATATGTTGTCACACAGTAGATGCTCTCCATCTTTGCTGATCTGTAAACATTAGGTAAAATTATTTCAAGATTATAAGATTATTAATAATCTAAATAATGCTTAATCTTAATAAGATTAAGCATTTCTTAGGAGAGAAAAAGTTTTCTCTCAGAAGAAATGTAGAATCTTTTTGCCGTTTTATTTGCTTTTACATTCATGAAAACTTGCAATTTAAGCAATCAAGTGATCTTAAATTTATTTTTAAATAGAATAAAATTTTGAATCCAAGGTAAATTCTTCATCTGATTTATATTTTAACACGTTTTTCTTAGCTTAGCTTCACGTTTGTTTGTTTGTTTGTTTGTTTGTTTGCTGTTAACATGGACAACGAAAATTAGCCCACTTCTGATTGTTCTAGAGATCTGAAACTCGGCATGCAGGCTATTTTCGCCTAACAATTTCAGATACAATCATAAAAACTAGTAATTAGATTACTTAATCAAGTTTTAATCGTTTTTCTTGTGGACTAAAAAGTAGAAAATAAAATACTTAAAAAAACTTTTTAAAAAAACACGTTTTTCTTGTGGACTAAAAAGTAGAAAATAAATTATGGTTCGCCCCAAAAAAACGTGGGTCGGGCTGTATGTTCACCATCAAATTTCCAAAATTTAAGTGTTGTGTGCTTTTCTCTTCAATCATAAATCTGCCTGACACACGTTTTTTGGGGCGAACCATAATTTATTTTCTACTTTTTAGTCCACAAGAAAAACAAGGTTTTAAAAAAAGTTTTTTTAAAGTACTTTATTCCTAATATACTCAGAGTCTCTGATTTTTCCAAAATAGTTTAGTCTTAGTCTTTCTTAAACATAGTCACAAATTGAGAAATCAATACAAATTGCAAAAATAGTCAACCCACTTGTAACAAAGTGCCACACACAAATTTTAGACAACATCCTTCTTTTATGCAGTTAATTGATAGCAAGTAGAGTAGGGAGAATTTATTATTTCAGGTAGTGGTTCTATGCAATGAATGAGTAGTAAATCATTACTTCTCCTACAATAACTAATACAATTAAATCTTGCCTAAGCAATGGACAGACCAAAATTTATGTGCATGATTAAAATTTGAAGCATATCAAACTTTGCTAACAAGATACTTCTACTTTACTCTTTACAGAAATCATCCAGCAACAGGTACATATATTCTTTTAGACACAAAAAAAAATTGATCACTTACCTGGAATTTCGATCCCACAAAGAATGCAGGGCAATTTTTGTCAACTTCATATCTGAAATGGAAGGAAGAATTAATCAGTGGAAAATTCAACATGCATAGATAAAGGCGGCAAGAGTAAATACCCTATATTAAAAATTTGTAATGAAATGCTAGAAATCCAAGGCATATATCTTCAAAGGGGAAAGCTCCACTTGGCACAGCACTTTAGGAAATAAGCAAATTCACCAAGTTAGAAATTCAGTTAATTTCTATATACAGTTTCACTAAAAAAAATCCAAACAATTTACTTCCTCACTATTTTTTTTACTTTCCACTTAATCCATGCTACTTAGCAAATTATTACTGATTTTTCAACAATTCTAGTTACATTAGATTGTAAGTCAGCATGGTCTGAAAATGCTTGCATGTCATATTTCTAAAGCTTCAGTTCACATATTTTAGAACATGGTATAGAGTGATTGTGAGTGCTTGCTGCCCTACCAAAATAATGTATATATATATATGGTAATATGCCATTAGATTCTGTTCAGAATGAAGTCTTCCAGGGAATTTGGCCATGGCTTCTGTGTTGAGGCAACTAAACTTGGTTCCCCAGAATAGCAGTGCAGAAAATTCTAAGCATCCGCTGGAAAATTGTTGACCATCTTCTAGGTGCATCATCAAGTGGCTAGGCTCACAATCAAGCTGTTATTGATACTAAGGATAAAACGGAGGAGCAAAGCTGAATACAGAAGGTGGCAGTCTCTCATGTGTCTGATGCTTTGGCTTGCATCAAGATGAAATTGGCAGGAGAGAACTATGAGAATATCATATCGCACTTAGCAGGCCTGGGTGTCAATCAGATGTACTTATTAGTCCTAGCATAGGGTGCCTGGTATAGGAGGGCACAACCCTTCCCATCAAGACCAGAAGGGTGGGGGGCGTNCCATCTTGCCACAATACTTTATGGCACAATATGTCTTGAAGCAAATATTGTTAGATATGCTTTGTTGGCCATCCCTGATTTAAATATGCTCCAATTCTTATCAAATTGTGTAAAATTGAAAAATTAATTACATGTTATTGTTTAATAAAAGCAAATAAAATTGTGGCAAAGTAATTTTATTATACAGTTTCTCTTATGGCTATAAATTTTAGAAAACCTTTCACAGATAGACTTTACTGCATACTAGTAATGAAGGATGAGGAATCCATCTAATGTGGGTTTTTACATTTTACTTGAATATCCTCATTTCAGGTGACAAATTTCACTTGTAATGAAGCATGGAAATATGAGGATACAACTTTTATGATAAATTAGTAGCATAAACACATATCTAGTTCAATAGTAGCATACCATGATTCTTTGGAATAAGTTTTATTATTAATTCATTTTATTACTTACTAAGATTTAAACCAATATCTTATGTATAATGCTGGTATCCATGATATTTTACTGGTCTACTAATAGGACTCAGAATAAGAAATGAATTTGAGGAAGTCTAAAAAAAGTCTTTGCTTTGCCACTATGTCTAGTTCTTTACATTAGCAATCAATTTCAGTTGACTTTTGTAAACCATACATTTGATTAGATAGAGTGAACCGATTGGTCCTGAAAGTGGTTTTGAGCAATGTATGTATATAGCCAAACTATAATTTATATAACAATTATATATAAGAGCATAGTGGCAAAGCAGAGAGTTTTTTAGACTCTTCTACAAGTTCAATTTGAGTCCTAGAAGTACACCAATAAAATATTGTAGATACCAGCATTATCATACTATTATTCATAAATAAGATATTGCTTTAAATCTTGAGTAAATGAGGAAATTATAAATGAATGGGTTCTAAAAAATATCTGGTTTACCACTATGGATAAGAAAGATACTATGAAGTTTTTCAATTTTAACAGCATTGAGATCTATGCAGCATGGTACCATTCTCTATGCCTTTTTAATTACCATATACCTATGGAATTTCAGAGCATGGCAGCCCAAATTGGAGCATGCACCCTGGAATTGGAGCTCATGACCAGGATGACTGGAAAAAGAGGGCCTCAGCACCAAAATCATGGTTCCCAGTACCCCATTCCCCAATCTTGCTTTGTGCCAACAACTGACAGCATGGAGGGCTCCGGTGGTCAGGGTGTTGCTATGAGACTGTCCCCATCCTCAAATTCCACCATGCCATGCAGGAATATAAATTTTTTATATTTTTCAGATATTTAACACTTTGACTGCAACATGTGCTATACATGGTACATGCATGCATGTCTGTCTCAAACTGCAATGTGTGCCAAATAAGGTACACAACTACATGCTTTAAAATTTTAATTACAAAACCCATTTAAAACCTTAGCCAGAGCATCAACTTGGAAAAAATAAGATAGGGTATTGACAAAAAGGCTTTAAAAAGCCTGTACAAATGTCATGCACTCAAATCTTAAGATTCTTAGAGGTTGAAATCAAGCCGGAAATAATGTGTGGGCAGAAAAAAAATGAAAAATCATGAAATGAAAGGTGTTATCCTATTCCAATATGCTGAAAATTATTTTTTTTGGCATTGATATGGATTATATAAGTAGAAAAACAGTTACTAATAGGACATCTGAAAGTTCAAATTGGCTGAATGCCACTGTGAAAAGCAAGGTGCAGATTTCCAGCACAGGGATAACAATTGGCAGTTACATTTTTAGCATTTTGCATTATTGCAGCACTAACTTCCTCCTTTGCAAGCATGTTACATCACTAAATCATCAGGGCTCAGAGCAGCAGGTTGTCATCCAGGTTTCATAAAGTGGCAAGATTCGTTGGAATTTCAATGACTTTTTGTAAAGTTAACGACCATTTTTTGGTCATTACAACGACACCAAACCTGGATTAATAGGGAATTTATATATTTCAACGACTATGAATAATTTATTACACGATATTTTTAAAAAATAATACACTGACTGCTATCACTCATGCATTTTTTTGGTTTCAGATGCCAGTCAAGCCACCGCTGGAAACAGAAATGTTCAAGGCAGCATCTGCCGATTAAGAGTCACAAGTTTACAAAATTCTGGTTCTGTCTGTCGTATGTGTTCAAGCTTGGAAGAAAAATCCAACAGATGGCGCTGGTTGTTGACTTCTTTTCAAGTTGAAACTTGACTACAATAAAATTTTCTGTGTGCCTCTTTTGTAACCTTCATACCATTCGTACAAATGGAGGTAGTTTTTGCACAAAGGGCAAAATTAATCGCACAATTATAACCAATATAAACCAATCACAACGATATTCAGAGAAAATTTAAACTAATACATTCGTGACATGCTGACTGTATGTAGCAAGTAATAAATTTCTAGACCTCAAACTTGAAGGCTTTAAGTTGATGTTCTATTCGAAATTGATTCCTTCCCTACAGTTTATAGCTCTTTTCATATGAATGTCTAAAGATCAACCATATAACTTGAGAATGCAGCGGTAATCGGAAAAAATATTGCGATCTTAACACATGCAAAAAAGCTTTAGTGAGTCCGTGTTCTTGAGTTTATTAAGATTTGTTAAGTAATTCGGAAAAATTTGTTGGCCACAGGAAATTCTTGCACGTATTGCTGTGTGACATGTGATTGGAGTCGAAATTATAAAATTTGTCACAAGCTAAACACACCAGAATAATTATTTCATTTCATGCACAAATTTTCATTGAAATATGATCAGTAGATGGGGATAAAATAGATCTGGTCACAACAACCATGCCACGTTACCTGCTGCAAAAATGTTCAAAGTGTCATTTTACTAGAAGGAAAACACTAGCAAATGCTTTTAAATGATCAGTAAAAAGCTACGAAGCACAATTTTTTCAACCAGATAAGTATTGAGATCACGAAACCATGTTGACCAAACCAAATAAAGCAGCACCAGCATTGGAAATAAATGTGCAAGACGTGGGAATGCTAGCATCGCGGTATTGAGTCCCATACGGTCTGTGACTCGTGCCAAACGTTCGGTTGTACCAAACACACTGTGGTTCGGCTAAGACGTGTAAGTCAGAGACCAGACTGCGCTAGCATCTTACAATTTTGTATTTTGTATTATGTAATGAAACACAGTATGAGTTCTCCTAATTGACTGGGTCAAGGTCCGAAGGCCAGATTACGAATGGTATTACAGATATGCAAATGATTATGACAACTTGAGTTACTTGACGTGTAATATCCTAGGTCGGTGCTAATAATATTAATATGTACCCAAATAATATTTAACAGGAAATCAACTGCAGTTGCTATTTGATTATGATGCTTAAGGCAATAACATTGATAATAATGTTGAGTCAGAGTTAATGGGTAACTCTGCTAAAATTCACTAGGCTAGCAACATTCCTCAAAAATGAGTTACGGGGGTAACTGGAGGAAATATATATACAAGGTCACTACAAATGTATTGTTTTGATAGAATAGAAGTGTCGGCGCTGAAGAAATAGGCCCATGGCCTGTTGCCGATTCTTGAACTTTTCGTGACTTGATTAACAAGGGATCCGGCCTTTGGAACCCGATCTTTCCATAGCTGACGATTGATTGAGATATACGATTGAACAGGGAAGTCATAAATTAATTCGTTCATTCATTATTAAAAATAAAGATGTAATTTTACTGTATATATCAAGTTCTGTTTACATGGAAAACATTTTCAAACATTTCTAATGCAATGATTGATTAATCCCTGTATTTAGTTTTCCAAGAATTTTCAACCTGTAGATCAAGGCAACATTTGCAATTTATTTCATCGCCATCATTGGAAGATGCAAACCCATTTGATGCGACATGCTTAGCTTTGGATACGTGATTTTGAATTGGATGTTCATTGTAACTTTAATTGTGCAAGAAGTGCTACTGGTTATGAAATTAAAATAAAAATTCTTAGTTTTGTTATAGTAATTGTTGCTGATAAGTTGATAACTGGTCAGTCGACCAGGACTGGACCCTAAACTAAAGTTAAGTTAACTAACTTCTTGACTAAAAAAAGCCCTTGTAATAGCCAAAGAAGTTTGTCGTGGCTTTTTATACATTGCACAAGCTTCATTTGCCTATTCTGTGCATCTTTTTAATTTCAAGTATTGCCAATTACTATAACATATTGGAATGTGCTGCATTGATGTCTTTTATTTTATTGTCAGGTACAGCTGACAATGCTGAAAATGAATAAATTCTAATGAATAAATTCGATGCAATCTGCATAGGATAAAGAGTTGAAAATGAAACAAAATTATTATCTTAGTTTTTGTATTTAAAAATGAGTTCGCATTCCGAGGAAGCTGTGCCCTCTGCATTTTAGGGATAGCTTGCGTTTGATTACGCGCAATATTTACGTATCAATATTAGAAGCGGTCAGACGTCAGTGTTCAGGAGTAAAGAAGGCACGGTAACTGGTGTGAAGAAATTAAACCATTAATGCATTATACGTGTGGTTTGTTGCATATTAACAATCCAATGTACAAAAACTTGAGGTTATCTACTAATCTTCTTATTAACGATGTTTTTTCGTTGTTAAGTGACCTGTGACCAAACTAGCTACTAAGAAACCTACCGACCAACAACTGGAAAACCTACCAACCAACGACTGGAAAACCTACCGACCAACGAGTGGCATGTGGATTTTCAACGACCAGATGACCCCTGAGATACTATTACAACGACTCTTATGCCACACTATTAAACCTGGGTTGTCATGAAATTCGGATTCTCAGCTTCAATTGGTTTAGTGCTGGAACGCATATGTCCAATATGTCCATGATTTGGTGATAGGTGATAAAACATTTCATTGCCTGGCTGACCTATTATGAGTGGCAATACATTCAGTCATGTTAAACACATTCAATGATTCACATTGAATTTTACTGACTATCAAACTGATCATAAAGCACCCAGGCATTTGCTAGTTGCTACTGCAGTTTTTGCCAACAACTTGAACAGTTGTCAGTACCACTTATAAAGTGGTACTGGAATTCTAGAAATTCCACCACTGCTTCATTTTTTATTTATTAAATAAATAAAAAATGAAGCACCTCTAAAGTCTGGCAAAAGATGTAAAAAGGACAAAGCACTCAATTTGAGGCAATAAAAGTGAATTTACTGTCTGCCCCCGCCGCCGCCCAGCCCTGGCCCACCACTTAATGCTTTCTCATAATGCAGTTTGTAAGATTAAAACCCAGACTTCATGATGTAAGTTTCTTTTGAAAAAATTCAAATTTCTTGTTGGTTGAACTATTGTTAGATGATGCCATCTTTTGTTTACCTAGAATGTGGTCGTTTCTTTCAATCTTCATAAAGGTGTTGCTAGTGTGCTGTCACTGCTGTAGAACGCTGCCAGGAATGGGCCGTTTTTCAGTCCCTAATCTTAAAATTCTTGGCTTTTAATAATTATATATTAACCATTATTAACAACCAGGGTAAACGCGGTATATTCCGACACATTAAGGACGCATCGAGAAATGAAAAACTATAAAAAAAATGTATGCGTTATGCAAGTTCTGTTGGCTTCACGTGACTCTCAAAACACCTCAATACGCGTCAGCAACGATGAAACGTCACAAAATGTTGCCATATTTATTAAAAAGCCTTTAGAATGGAAACCTACCAAATCCCTATATTCCGTCACTGTGTGTGGCAATATTCGACACGTGGTGAGTCGTATTGCATCAGCGCTTCAAATTTAACCGATATGTAATGCCGACATCCATGTGTTCGAATTCCGTTCGCTGTGTGAGCTGTATTGGGATACAACACGGCTTTGAATTAGAACAAATTCCGTTTGCTGTGTGAGCTGTATTGGGATACAACACGGCTTTGAATTAGAACACTAACGAATATTGAACACTACTTAATTACGTTTTAATTAACAGCTATTAGGCTTTTAATTAAGCAAATTTCAATTTTTAATAATATCACTCGTTTGCTTGAATCGCAAATTCACTAAAAACTTAATAGCAAAGAAAACTTTCAATATTCATTAGTGTTCTAATTCAAAGCCGTGTTGTATTCCAATACAGCTCACACAGCGAACGGAATTCGATCACGTGGATGACGGCATTACGTATCAGTAGAATTTGAAGCGCGGAAGGAATACGCCTCACCACGTGCCGAATATTGCCACACACAGTGACGGAATATAGGGATTTGGTAGGTTTGCATTCTAAAGGCTTTTACATAAATATGGCAACATTTTGTGACGTTTCATCATTGCCGACGCGTACTACGGTGTTCTGAGAGTCACCTAAAGCAAACAGAACTTGAGTAACGCACACGGTTATTTTTTAAAGTTTTTCATTTCTCGATGCATCCTTAATGTGACGGAATATACCGCGTTTACCCTATACTTAAAGGATTCCTAATATATTCACAGACGTATTTAAAAGTCTCAAACCGTAATATTCTTCCTATAAAAACAGTTATTCACTATTTGGTAGAGCAAGGTCAACTGTCAAATTTGACACATTTTTCGATGATCTCACCAGGTGGCATGCATTGTCTCTCTTTGGATCTCAATATTTTCCCACTAGATGGCCAAGACCTAGTGTTTTGGCAGTATTTTGATGCGCAAATGTATGATGTATCCATTTCAACCATCAACAAACACATGGAACTAAAACAAAGCTTGATACATGGTGGCATTCCATAGTATAAATAAAAGAACATGAGCTTTTGGGAAATTGGAGCACTCTGTCATAATTGGAGCGTCAAGGTCACTACACCTTCCCCCACGAATTCTACTCCACAACTGCGGGCGGGCTGCGTGCTGCAGGCTGCGGCTGGTTGCCGCTACCGTGCGGTACGCGGCTCCGCCTGGTTGGGTAAGTCAAAAGAATAGTAGCACTCCAACCTTTCTTAAATGCCTACGGGTTATCCAAACCAAAATATAAGCAATGGACTTCCTATGGACTCAATTCATAAGAAATGGTCATGAACTGGATCAATTGCAGTAATAAAAATAACCATTATAACTTATTACCATTGCTAGTATCACTCTGCTCATATGTACATGTTAAATCAATTACAGGAGATCCGAAAAAGCAAGTAATAATCAACAGAAAGAAACTCCATAAGAGTGCCTTTGGCAACCATGCAATATGCGCTACAAACTATCTGCGGCTGGCAGCAAGCACACCGATCCCAATGACAGACGGTTACAAAGTGTAATATTAGAGAGCGTATTTTCTCGCCGACGAAAACATGAAGTCACGGACTGACAGACAGGCGGACGGACAGACAGACGGACAAAGTGTAATATTAGAGAGCGCATTTTCTCGTCGACAAAAACATGAAGTCACGGACTGACAGACGGACTGACAGACAGATGGACGGACGGACAGACCGACAGACAAAGTCTAATATTAGAGAGCGCATTTTCTCGTTGACGAAAACATGAAGTCACGGACTGACAGGCAGACGGACGGACAGACGGACTGACAGATAGATGGACGGACAGACGGACAAAGTCTAATATTAGAGAGCGCATTCTCTCGTTGACGAAAACATGAAGTCACGGACTGACAGACAGATGGACGGACTGACAGACAGACGGACGGACTGACAGATAGATGGACGGATGGACAAAGTCTAATATTAGAGAGCGCATTTTTTCGTCGACGAAAACATGAAGTCACGGACTGACAGACAGATGGACAGACGGACTGACAGACAGACGGACGGACAGACAGACGGACAGATGGACAAAGTCTAATATTAGAGAGCGTATTTTCTCATCGACAAAAACATGAAGTCACGGACTGACAGACAGACGGACGGACAGACGGACGGAGACAATTTAGACTGACCTGATGGACAGGCCTGAAGAAACTGATGGCACATCTAGAGCCATGTTGCCTTCTTTAGTTTTGTAATTTGTGTCCGATTGAATTGTGATCTATGAATGAATATTCATAACTGTGCTGACTCTTAGAACCTGAGTTGACGCGTTAGCAATCTAGTTAACTCATATCCAACCACAACACAATGCGGACACGGGACACCTACAGGTTTGTGTGTACGGTCAGTGCAATTGCGTAATTTGCGTTGCCACGCATCCATATTTAAACTATTTTAGCTTTCTAAAGTACGGCGCATTTTTTTACCAGCATAGTACGGCGCACCACGCAGGTCATTAAAATGACAAAATAAATTCCCGCGCACCTGGCGCATCTTCCTGACCATGGACGCAGGGTTAACATCTTGCGGAGTAAGTAAGGTGATGACACATTACCGTTTGGTACAGTTCACATTTGCAGCAATGCAGTGTGGTCAGCGGACACTTAGGATAACAGCATGTGTAACAGTGTAAGAAGTGATGTTATGAGTTATAAAGCATTGGAGAACAACGTATTGGCCGTTAAATATGTGGAGTAGCAGCTTGTGCTGAAGCAGTGTTGGATTAAAGTTTGTGTGGATGTGGTGAGATAGGTCAATTGACTACAGCTGCTTAGGTGCCAGGATGACAATATCTGACTATAGCATTTAGATGGTTGATGTTGGCTCCAGGGCTGATTCGAGCGTTAATTTGCTGGTCTACGGCTGCTTCTTCTTTTCAAGGTGTCCATGTTGGGTGGACTTAAAGCCGCAGGAGTCAGGACAACCACAAAGATGACCCTTGGGACTGAGAGCTTATGGTATACCTATTGGACTTCTTGGTGAGGAAAGCTAGCCTCTTTGTCCTTGTTTGTACAAGGTCAATAGAGGTCAATAGAGGTCACTAAGAGGTGATGGATGATCTTGACAGCATGTAAGAGAAAATTTACACATGACATGGATAAGTTACATGCACACAGAAGTTCAGAACACAGATGACTATGCACTAGTACTAGCAGTCACTAGGGAAAGTTACACATGACATGACCATTGCTCCTCAGAACTGAGCACTAGATTTAACAGTTAAGTTAGATGGATTTATATACATACCACACTCAGGATGATGAATGTTTTCGGTAAATTATCCGGCGCATTTTCACTTTTTTTGAGCTATTGCTGTGCACAGTTGGCGCAATGTAATGAAAATTGATTCTCTTCGCGCACGTGTTTGCGCAATCCCGGCCATAAATTCTACGTTGCGCTGCCGCGCACGAGCAGTTTGTGGAGGAACAGACGTAATACTCACATTACTCAGTACAGTATGCCTTTAATTATCTTTCAATAATATATGATTTTTCTTGATACGGAAATTTGGTGAATGAGAAATCTAGAACTTTATTTTAGAAGAAATTTTCTTCATGTGAAATTAAAGTATGAAATTAAATCAAAAGTATGTATCAATTTCAGTGTTGACATCATAGTAAACTGCTCACTATTTGATATGCATCACTAACTTAATCACATTAAAGTTAATGTAACTGATATTTCTTATGGATGAGTGCACTCCTTAGGTTTAACATGTTAATCTTTTTTCTATTTTCAGACTGGGTAAAGCAGGCAAACTTGAATGTACCATTATACGATGATATAGACCCCCGTGCCTCAGTTTTGTGCGTGTTCTTTTCTTCTCTGTTCACTGTTTATACCTAGTTCTTTTGTTGTATTGTTCAATAAATTGTTAAATAAACACAAGGAAAATTCTAATAAAAAGATGGTTTGGGATGGTTGTAGGGGAGGTGGAGACCATCACCAATTCCTTGTTTTCTTGACACCCTTGCAGCAAACACCCTCAGGCCCAAATGTGGCTGGTAGCACAATAAATATAGTTCTACAACATGGTGATGTCATACATTTGCGCATCAAACTACTGCCAAAACACTAGGTCTTGGCCATCTAGCAGGAAAATATTGAGATCCAAAGAGAGACAATGCACGCTACCCAGTGAGATCATCGAAAAATGTATCAAATTTGACAGTTGACCTTGCTCTAACAAATAGTGAATAACTGTTTGTATAGGAAGAATATTATGGTTTGAGACTTTTAAATACGTCTGTGAATATATTAGGAATCCTTTAAGTATACTTGTATTTGCTGACTTCAAGTGGTAAATAAATTAATAGATGATTAAGTTGAGAAAAGGATTTAAACACATGAAAACTAATTCCATCACAACTTGAATTGGACACACACAGATCGTTCCAAGCTTAGACATGGTGGCATTCCATAGTATAAATAAAAGAACATGAGCTTTTGGGAAATTGGAGCGCTCTGTCATAATTGGAGCGTCATGGTCACTATACCTTCCCCCACGAATTCTACTCCACAACTGCGGGCAGGCTGCGTGCTGCAGGCTGCGGCTGGTCGCCGCTACCGTGCGGTAAGCGGCTCCGCCTGGTTGGGTAAGTCAAAAGAATAGTAGCGCTCCAACCTTTCTTAAACGCCTACTGGTTATCCAAACCAAAAAATAAGCAATGGACTTCCTATGGACTTAATTCATAAGAAATGGTCATGAACTGGATCAATTGCAGTAATAAAAAATAACCATTATAACTCATTACCATTGCTAGTATCACTCTGCTCATATGTACATGTTAAATCAATTACAGGAGATCCGAAAAAGCAAGTAATAATTAACAGAAAGAAACTCCATAAGAGTGCCTTTGGCAACCATGCAATATGCGCTACAAACTATCTGCGGCTGGCAGCGAGCGCTTCGATCCCAATGACAGACGGACGGACGGACGGACAGACAGACGGACAAAGTCTAATATTAGAGAGCGTATTTTCTCGTCGACGAAAACATGAAGTCACGGACTGACAGACAGACGGACGGACAGACGGACAAAGTCTAATATTAGTGAGCGTATTTTCTCGTCGACAAAAACATGAAGTCACGGACTGACAGACAGACGGACGGACAGACAGACGGACGGAGACGATTTAGACTGACCTGATGGACAGGCCATCACTCCGATGTAGACTGACCTGATGGACAGGCCATCACTTCGATGTAGACTGACCTGATGGACAGGCCATCACTTTGATGTAGACTGACCTGATGGACAGGCCATCACTTCGATGTAGACTGACTTGATGGACAGGCCATCACATTGACGTAGACTGACCTGATGGACAGGCCATCACTTCGATGTAGACTGACCTGATGGACAGGCCATCACTTTGATGTAGACTGACCTGATGGACAGGCCATCACCTCGATGTAGACTGACCTGATGGACAGGCCATCACTGATCGCAGCAAACCGCATATATGTGTATGCTCTAATTATTGCGTGAATAAAATTCATATATATACAGAATGATCTTTTTTCACCAATATGAACAATTATTTCTTTCATTTAAATCTGTATTTATAGATCATTATTCTTGTTAATTACAAAGTTACGGCACTCGTTGTAACAATTTTTGTGTCGCGTCGCGCGAGTTAAACTATTGGAGTTTAGGGTTTACAGCGCTCTGCCTTCTCTCAGAACCATCCGCCTAGCTCTACTTCCGCTCGCTAGGCACGCTAGCGTGCAGCATGAGGCGTCTCATTTAGTGGTGACGAACTCCTGCGGTGTCTCATTTAGTGGTGACGAACTCCTGCGGTGTCTCATTTAGTGGTGACAAACTAATTGCTGCGTGATATTTGCTTGCAAATTATAGATTCGATTGTGACGTTGTGCATATTTTTGATTGTGATATTATCAACATTCTTTTCAACGGTGGTATGAACCGTAAAGCTTGAAAGAGACGGAACTCCTGCAGGGAAGGGAGCCTGGGCCCTGAAAGATGACTCGCAGACTCAGCAACTGATGAAAGTAATTAATTGTCATTTTTTTCAATCATTGATGGAATTTGGCAACTGATGGAAGTCATTAAGCAATTTTACTGTTCAAATCTTTTTTTTATTGCTGCTGCTTGCTGCTCCTGCTTGCTGCTGCTGCTTGCTGCTGCTGCTTGCTGCTGCTGCTTGCTGCTGCTGCTGCTTGCTGCTGCTGCTTGCTGCTGCTTGCTGCTGCTGCTTGCTGCTGCTGCTTGCTGCTGCTGCTGCTATACACATCTAGATGTGTATAAGAGACAGCAATAATTGTGTGCCTAGACACCAATAGTTGTGTGCCTAGACACCAATAGTTGTGTGCCTAGACACCAATAGTTGTGTGCCTGGACACCAATAGTTGTGTGCCTAGACAACACTATTGGCATCTATTGATATAATTCTTCTTATGTCACATTGGCACTTAGAGGCTTGCTAATTCTGGCAAATTATCCATAATTTGCTGTACAAAATTTATTCTTCATCTTGCCCTGCCGCAGCACTGTCATCTCATTTCCAATAATTATAAATATATTGATGCATATAGAGGCAATCTCATGTTTTAAATTTGGGAATATTTTTTGGAATCTCTAATAAGTTTTTATTTCATGCATTTGATGAGTTGTATTTTAAACATTAAATTTCAATAGCTTTGAGCAATATATATACCGTACTTGTTTTGTTGAAAGCCTTTTGATGCATTTTAAATACTGTTTCCACCATAAGCTAACGAGTTTTTGTTTTTACAGGGCTGACTTGCGTTATAATGTTACATTGCTGAGGGCCAAATTTGATGAGAACAAAGACGTCAAAGACCTGCGTGTTGCCAAACAACTTTACGAGGATGGAGAAAACTTTCTCTTCAAGTCCATGCATCCAATTCCAAAGAAATGTAAGAGAAAATCCTGCAATTCTTGCTGGTCATCACAGCTTGTAATTAGTGGTCATCTTATCCCATATTTTGGTCATGCTTACTCCTGTGCGTGTCCCATTAATTTTTCTAATAGTTGAACTTTCACGTGGCATCAATGTGAGGCTGAAGAAACCCAAGAAGAGAGATATAAAGACTAAGGATTATTTGTAAGACTAAATTCACATTTACAAAGATTTACTTGTACTTCAGGCATTGGCTTCATTCATTTATTGGTAAATTACGATGCTCAATGATGTTGAAAATATATAGGTATGTAAATATTTGAATATATGTACATTTAACTATTGAAACATTGGTTTCAGTAGGCCATATTGATCATAAATGATGTATATAAATGTAAAATGTAGCAATGAGCTCTCACATTCACTGTGAATGTAGGTAATTTTTATTTTTTATGATCGTTGACAAGCCCATAAAATATGTATTGTTTGTGTTCCTGCAGTCCCACATTCTCCTGGAGGAGTCGCCTACGGTCGTGTAGTCAAAGTGCCGGACTGGCTGCTGGACTACTGGGATCCCATCGAGAAGGCTGCTTATCCGAAATATTTCGCGTTGCGCGAGAAGCGCAAGAAAGAATACCTCGAAATGTGGGACAAGAAACATGGACGTCCCGAACCCGTTGAACGTTAGACCGCATTTTCTTAGAGTGATCTCAAGGCGAAACAATAGTGGGGAAAAATGCGAGATAAGTTGTACAGGCAAATTCTATTCATGTATGCTATGAATTTACTCGGGATTATTGAACATATTGTGTATTTCCTCTTCGATTTATGTTTCAGGATATGTTGTATTCTTTAAAGAATGTAGTGACGGGACAACGGAAAATTAAAATTAAATGTATAGTGTGATGAACAGTAAATCCTGAAAACGGTATTTAGTTTTTTTTTCTATTTTGAAGATGCTTGAATTTTTTAAAATCTTGTTGCCATAGGATTACAATTATAATTTGTTGGTTGCTTTAAACTCTACTAAGCGTGATTGTGATTTAGTTCTTGCTTGTTCAATCATATGAAACAAAATGGAGTCATAATATTGAGAATACCAAACCGTGGATTTTAAACAATCATATTGCACACAAACATATATAAATAGATAATCATACGAATATTTACATAATGACATTCCGTAATAGCGAGAAGTGTTTAAAGTATCAAATCAAAGTTAACTGAAGCCGGCGACATCAAGCCTTCTTAAAATGAACATTGCGGAATAAGTATAAATATGAATCTACATATAAATCTAAATGTCCGGTTCTGCATCACAAAACCTGGACCCAATAAGAACGCAAACGTCATTCTGCCTAAAAATGCAAGAATTTAAGTTTCCTTCTATTGATTGTAAGAAAGATGAGCCTGAAAGTAAAACTCATCGGAAAGGTCTAACATGATAATTTGACATTTGCAAACTGAAAACTGAAATAGGAGGCCCGTACGTCTGGCAAGTGATTGTGTTGATTGATTATACTCTATAGAAAAAAGGCTTCCAAATATTAAATAATAACACACGCGGATAAATAGGTATATATACATAAGGAGATGTAACTACTGCAGTCGTAGGAGTAACGTTGATAAACCACCACGTAGAAAACAAACAACTGAATGAAGTACATTATTATGATGCTATCATTCTCATATATTGTAAAGTGAAGATATCACTATTTCTTGGGTCGATACCAGCGCGCTATCCGTAAATAACGCTCTTAACCCCATAAGATATTTTTACAAAAAGTTTAATTTAAAGGATTTTATTTGTGTGAAAACATTGACGATAGACCAATGTATCAAGTTTTTCTATTTTAATTGGTTTGTACTGTCATAATAAAGATAGAATCTTCATGATATTGAAAAGCATAGACGAGTTCCTCCACACAGAAACCAGAGAGCACCGAGACGGTATCTTTAGATCTGCGTCTCAGCACCAAATAATCTTACTCGTTAATATCTCATTAGGCATTAAATTAATTTGGATACTTAATATGTTCAGTAAATTGAGGGCGGAGCCGCTACAGAGTGAATCTTACAAATTTAAGTTTAGTTTGTTTAATATTTTGAATTTTTCTTAGCGGCCTGGACGGCAGTCCGAAAATTTTGCATCACAGCACAGCCACTGGATACTCTGCGTTTAACATGCACCTGGCACGGGAAGAGCTTGGGAAACGAAAGTATATATAGGCTGGAATAACGTAAAATTCAATACTACTTTTCGAACATTCAATGGTTGATGGAGAAAGCGCAATGAATATAAGCTACATCCATCATCAGTTTATTAATGCAATTAATTTTTTGAAGAAATAGTTAATGCAAAATATATAAAACAAGTAAATAATTCCCTCTCGTATAAGTTGAGGAAAGTGATGAGCTGAATAGCTTACTGAACATGAATAGGCTGAATAGCTAGCTATTGATTCAAAATTAATAAAGCTCAAACCTCTACAAAATGATGTGGTAGAAACACAAAAGATCAAAGATGTTAGGAGTGTTGGTATCTAAAATACAATTTCTAGAGATTGCTCTATTATATCTATATGAAAAAATTATCACATCACCAAAGTTAAAAATACACAATATCATCAACACGAGATGAACAATCCTGCATCAAACTCTTCACGAAGTATCTGACGATTCATTCTATAATATACACTGCTCTAACAATTGCGCAGTGAAATATTCTTATTTTTGAACATGAAGAATACCCAAGGAAAGTAAGAATGAAATAACCAAGACTTTAGCTAGTCATTATACCTTCCCAAGCAACAATCACAGATCTCCCAAGCTGTACCAACTTGAGCATCACTTGAGCTTTATAGCGATTACCTTTCATCTCAGGACTTGCGCATACGGGCTCATTCTAGACAACGCAAGTATTAAAAGTCGAAACGTGAACTATTTAAATGTTTACTAGTACTTCATAGTTCTGAATGAGCTAGCTAATGTATACAGTATATACTACCGCGACCCGTATATACATTGCAGTGAAAACCTACGCTCGCCGATCACAAAGTGAGAAGTTATCCATTAAGGAGTTTCCTCTTCTCACCTCACACACTCATTTTCGATTAATTATTTTTTAAACCAATCGGTATAACCAAATATACATTAAGAAAGTTCATCGATTTTCAGAACCTGATATTGATGATCTTCACTCGCTTTATTAATAACGCGCAAATCCTTCCTCGTGAAGCACCTGACAATTCGATATTAAACAATCAATATTTAAAGCTTTCTTCTCTTTTACGGTTCTTAATCATGATATAGTAGGTAATCCATCGATATTTCACGATGATACCAGATGGCAGACCTGCATCTGTCATATTCAATCTGCCAAGTTACATTTAATTAAATCGACTAGAAACATCATAGGAGAGACCAAGTTACTCGCTATGATATAAAGAAGGAACTAAATTTCAATTACACTAATATTTACACTCTGAAATCTGAGGTAACTCAAGCGTTAAGTGAAACTTTTCGTCTCTGTTTGCTGTTAAGTGGCAACTAATAAATTTTTAAATAAATGCGCCATAAAACAAATAACATAAAGAGTGCAGAATAACACTTGTGTAACTCAAGTGCATTGGATATAAATAGTGCTGTTAAAAATAACAATAAAATATAGTCACAATATATACTAGAAACCTATAGTTTATAACGCAGAGCGAGGTTATTATTGCAATACGGTACTCTACTTTGACGAATATAATCAAATGCAAGTTATAATAAAAGACGAACAAGGTGATGAATTGCAGAGATTTGTAGGAAGATGTACAGTATGCAGCCTGACAGGCATACCAGTAAACCTTTAAACTCAAAACTTTAAAATTCGCACCATTGGGAACCAGCACTAGTCTTGCCTCTGACTGTAAAAAATGGGAAAATCAAGCTCGGTTGACACGTTCATGGACCAATGTTTCAGTAATAATTTCTTAAATAGCTCAAGTAGAAATATATAATCGTTTAGATATACATTTATATCGCTAAATCCTGATCAACAAACTCCTACCAAAAAACTTTCACAATATCAGGCATTTCAAAACAAATTTGGCCAAACATTTATAAGTGGGAGTGATAAGTAACACTAAAATTTCCCGGTAATTCCAGACATTTTCTTACCTCAATAGATTCGCTCAGTATTCAAAAATTGGAATAATCCAAGATTTCATGAAATCTTTACACTTCTTCATTATTTTCATGCAACTGTTTTAAATTCGGCACTCCATTCACATATTAGTCCTTCCAGTTAGACTATATATAATGCAGTAGGATAGTAAGGAAATTGAACCCAACAGCTAAATGAATAACTTAGAGACCTGATACAAGTAAAATACCTATATGAAGAGTAAAGCGTCACTTGAAATATAGAGACATCATAAAACAACTTGAAGGGAGACAACAAAACTTCCAAGCGCAACTAAACACACAGCCAATTCCCCTAGACATCACGATACAAATGAGCTGATGCCGACAATTTCAGCTAATCTTAAGAAATTCATAACAGAACTAACAGTGTCCGTTAACTAATTAGTCTCTTTGTTGCCATTCTATGGGATATTTCTTATTATTGAACTTTTGAATCTAATAGTGAATCCGAAGATCATGAATTCAGACTAGTATGCCAGCCAAAAAAGGTACCAATAAAATTTAACATAAAAACCAAGCTATTGATTTTTTTATCGTTTGCGCGCCATACAGATTTTAAAAATAAAAAAGATGGATAAACTTCAAATTAAATACCTACTAGAAAGCAGAGATGAAATTACAGATCCAATTTCATGAGAAAAGTGCTTTTTATACAATTCTCTACAAGTTCAATTCCGTAAAAAATTACAGGAGCCACTGCAACGATGACTAGGACTAAACAATTTCAATGATTGATCCAAAAAGGAATTTGATTATTCGCCAGCAGAGGCTAGCGGTCGTTTAAATTGATGCAACAAGCTTCTCTAACAACAACTATAGAGAAGTAGCATCATACTCTCCTGACGTGCCCGCCACTGAAACCATAATGATAATGGGCCCAGAAACTTACATGATGCTTCAAAACAATTCAAACAAAGCTGCATTTGCAAACACATAAGTCATTTTACAAGACATTAATATCTTGCCACAAATATTTTGATTAATTCTCTCAATTTGTGAAAATGGCCTTCATTCTTTGTATATTCATCATATTTTTCATCACCAATACCTGGTGGTTTTATTCCACTTTGTTAACATATTCTCCACCTAATAATTTCCCAAGTGTAGCCTTATAACAGATTATAGTGCAATGATTTTCCTGCTATTCTTCACCAGGTTGCTGGAACAGAAGATGATCAGCAACAGGCACGTTTGGAGGTATTATTTATCTGGTCGTCATCATCTGTTAGCTGCAGTCCGCCGCTGCTGCTGTGTTGCTGCTGTTGTTGCTGGGTGGCAGAGACTGCCAGCATCCGGCGACTCAGGTCAAGGAAAAGCTCTTCAACGCCTTCATTGAGACGAGCTGAAGTTTCAAAGTGAAATGCGCCCACCTCTTCTGCATACCTGCATGAGGAAGGAATAGCAATAAAATCTAAGGCAGTACGTAAGGATTTAATAATTTCGGACTATGAAGCAAGCTCAAAGAATTTTCCCTCACAAGTAAATATAGGTAAAGTGTTATGTAAATGGCTTGCATATTACATGGAAACTGATATCTTCTCATTCACAGCCAAAGCCTTAGCTTGAATGAATATTTTTGAACCCACAGTTTGAGTTAAAGGTAGTCATCCATGTTATTCAGTTCCCAAAGTAGAGCGAACACCACTGTACTTTGGGTAATTTTAAGCTGTAATGTACTGTACAGTACAGTATATATAAATAGTGGAATGGGCCAACTCATAAGTTTTACTCTGCATTGACATTGAGATCCTCATAGCAAATGAAAATGACTAAGTCTAATTGAGTTTTTGAACATAATTTTTTTACTGTGTCAATGCAATATTGACTCGTACTCAATAAACAAGCACCTAAAACGAATTCATTGGAGTGATGCATAAAAATAATTTATGCATTTTTGTAATTCAAAGAAAAAAAAGTAAAGCATTTCAGTGGAGAAACCAGCCACTTCTCTATACTACTAATTAGACTTGACAAAATTGTTTAGCATGAGATTCATGAATGAGAGCTTGAAATACTCACTGTTGAGCAGTTGTGCAGTCAACCACTCTGTTCGCACTTAAATCACTTTTGTTTCCAGCAATTGCAAGGACTATGTTGTCACCTAGCATTCGTCGCAATTCTCGAACCCAATCTTGAACCTGCAAATATTTGATGAATGAGACTCGAGGTATTATTTTCCAAAATTTGATGCTGGAGGCAACATTTGTATTTCAAGAAAAATTAGAGATCAACTGGGTGAAAATTGTGTGGTAAATGTAACTAGTCTAGTCTTACATTTATCAAATTATCCTCAAATAATTAAATTTAGGAATCATCTCATACTAATTATATGTATAACAATAAAAAGAATTGTCAAAGCCATGGTTATTTTCACCCTAATCTACAACTACAAAATGAAGAGTAAAGAAACTTAAATACCTTATGATAAGAATCCATATCTGTAATATCATACACAAGGATAGCTCCCTGGGAATCTCTGTAGTAAATTGGACCAAGGGCATGGAAGCGCTCCTGCCCTGCTGTGTCCCAAATAGAGAGCTGCAACCTCTTCCCATCAATTGAGATTTTCTTCATCAAGAATGATGCCTGGAATAAAATTTTTGGTAAGGTCACACAATAGTGGAAACCAATTCCTGTTTTGAGTATTTTTGTTTGATGAAAAGAGTAAGAAAACACTGATGGTAGTACTTGAGGGCAAACACATCTTTACTTTATCTTTTAGTTTATTATCATTTTTTTTAGATTATTATTTAGATTATTTTAGATTATAGATTATTATTATATATTATATTATTATTTAGATTATTTTTAGATTATTATCATTTCTCAATAAAGTTTTCAAGGAAACTTTCCACAGATGAATTTTATTGTCTGATTTTGACAACATCTTAAAGAAAATCCTTGTAATAGATATGACAAAATCTTAAGGTTTGCTATCATGGAAATAAACTTGATGATAGGTTTTGAAAATTATTTAAAGGAAATTGTATACAAAATTATACCCATTCACATTTTGGAATAATTGCTATGGTTTGAAAGCATATTTAGGCAAATTTCATGAGTAGTATTCAACAAGTCTTGAGGTCTTTGATTGTGCACCTGTACCACATAGCAGCATTGATATTAACCTGTCTGGCTTATAAACCTAACATTCATTGGGTTTTTCACAATATAAATTTACATGAACACCAAGTCTATGACAATTTTTTGTAAATTGGGCATTCATAAACAGATAATCAAGTTACAGAATATTATGGTCAACCAACTAACCTGTATAGTGCTGATGTGTCGTTCATTGAACTTATCTTCGACATATCTTAGAACTAAACTAGTTTTTCCAACACATCCTTCTCCAAGAAGAACTACTTTGAAATTCTCGAGTCCACGACTCATTATGACACCTGATCCTATCAGGGAGATAGTACTCCTGAAAAGAATTTGGAAAGTTATGATACACAAGATTGAACATTTTAATACTAAAATCATAGTTTAGGTTAATTGCTTTCCATTCTATGCTGCCCTGTGAACAATTCTATCGATGACATTCCATGCACAATTTTGTGATGACCAATGATGCATTAATATTTTGTTAAAGAGAATTTTTTTCACTGAGCAAGGTAAATGTTATCAAAATTCTTTCTTGTTACTTGATTCTTTGTTAACTAGTGCCTTTGTTAACCAAGGTTCTACTGTGAATGTGTTTTTAGCCTTTAGGGGTGTCTCTTATTACTCCGTCATGTGGAAATGGCAGCAATCTTTTTAAATGAGCTACACAAATTGGGTCAATCACATTTTTAAGCCAATACCTTTGTGCAATTTTTATGTAAGTAAAATTTTTTAATACGGCAATTATTTTTTTGCTACAGAGTCTGACCTTACAGAGTCTGAGTACAGACCTTAGCAGGGGTACTTTTCTAAAATCTCACTTTTCACAATTTTTTTTCAGGAATTTATTAGAGGTAGTAAATGCATGATTTTTTAACTTGCTTTATACTACATAGATAGGAAAAATAGGTATTACACTTTATGCCAAAATTTTTAGTTTTACAATATTTTTATTAGTTTAGCTGCTACAACATTTCTACAAAATGTTAGAGGACTGTCCCTTACTACCCAACCCATCCCTTATTACCCATTTGCCCATTACCCATTTGCATTTGATGGTATCTCTTGACTGCAGAGGTAGTATGTAATGTTGTTGGGGACTAGTCAATAAATAAATAAACACTCTCTGTCCCCGAACACTTGGCCAATGATCACAAATAAAAAGGATGAATAAAAACTGATAAATAAAGAAAAACGAGGTCACGTAATAGTAACTTAAAACAAAAATGACAAAATCCGTAGCCTAACTATCGATGAAATTATTATATTTAAAAGCGGTCCCTAACAATGTCTTTATGTTTCTATACACCTCCAGGCTCCATGGCAGTCCATGCTGCTATTGCTCATGTTGTTGTTGTTGCAGTTGTACACTTTTATGCTATACTCACTGTTGTATATGGTCTTTTTCATGAGTCTCATTGGCTTTTGATTTATAGGGTCAGTGGGTGCCTTTCTAGTCTGACTATGCTCTTCTCCCTCAGTTGCAAGGCCGTCATCTGCATGTGGTTCTTTTTCAAATATTGAGCTATGACAATATTTTTTTCAAGGATTTTTTAGAGCTAGTAAATCTATGATTTCTTTGCTTCCTTTATGCTACATAGATGGGAAAGGTATTGAAGCTTATTCCACTATTTTCAGTTTTGCAATAGGTACCTATTTCAATTAGTTTTACTGCTGTAACATTTTTAGTCACTTGGTCTGGGTCTGGCAGACCAGTCCGGGTCTGGGTTTTAGTCTGTACATTTTTACACCATGGCAGAGGACTGTCCTGATTCACCCTGCCAATCCCTTATTACCCCATTTGACAGTATGTACATAAAATATATCTGAGTACCTGCTCACTGTCTACAACGACTCGTCATTATTTTTTTAAAGAATGAACTGTGAACACAGGAAACACACTCCCGTAGCTAAGCAAAAGATAGTTTCAGACTTTCAGAAGGCACATTAACCCATTAATGCCGAGCAGTTCCATTTGGAACCAGCAGAAAAAAATGGATTCATAATAAAATTGTATGGTCAAATCAATATACTAGTGGATGTGTAGGTTTGATACACATCTTGGACGTTTTCTGGTAACGTTTGGTTCTGCTGCGCCGACTACCACAGGTACTCCCTGCTCAGTTAACATTAAAAGATTGTAAGTACCGGGTGTCAGACAGAAGGGCTTGACACCATTGCAGAGAAAGGTAAGTAGTTTGTTCTAAGAATATATTATTTATAAGTTAGATGCAGAATTTTATCAATAAAGAGAGTACGGTACTTTTAATTCTGTATATGGTATTACGTGATATAATGTTTCTAAAGTCTTTTAGATCATGAAATATTTTGTCTGGTTCTAAATGCTCGGCAGTAGTGTAAGCATTCCGGTCATCTCACTTTCCCAGTAGATTTTTTTGTGATATAGTTACGCATTGTATTTCAAAAACTTGTTTGTACTTAGAAATTATTTATTTAGATCTTAGATCAACAGTTTTTCTGTTATTTGATAGTGAACTATTATCTTTAGAGCTGTTAGGAATATATATCCCAAAAGTTGAAATATTTGGAAGTAGGTACGTTGAACACTATATGATTATTCAACCCAAGTAACTTTTTTTCTAATTGTATTTTGGCAGATCATCACATGAAATAATTGAGATTTTGAGAGAAGAATAACACGAAGATCAAATATTTGCTTATGAACCTTTCAGATTCAGATAACTCAGAGATTCAGATAACTCAGATGACACAGCCACTAGCAATTCTGCTCGCCTATCGAGAATAGTCACTGTAGGCTTTTGTAGCAACAGTAATCACCAAATGTGAAAACAATGACTTTTGATAGAGAAGAAAGTCAACTGTGGTCATATACTACAACATATACGTGGCTAGCCCGTGAGATTTAGTTATAAACTTTGAGCAGCAGATAAATCAGATGATATTTTTCTGCAATTGAAGCCAATCGGAGGATCTAATAGAAAAAGAAACTTATTCATGGGCTGGATTTACTGGAACATGGATTGGTCCCATAAACATGATACAATTGGTCCCAAGCCAACATATTATATGTGATATCTATTCTGGTTTCATTTGGCTTCTCAAAAAACATTTGAACAACAAGAATGGCTAGTGCAATAAATTTTCAAAAAGATTGGTTATGAAATGCAATAATGCAGGAGACCCTAAATAAAAAAATCAGGGTCTATAGTGCACCCTTCTACTTTGATCCTTGATGAAGTGCAATACAACAATCAACAACATTGGCAAGCAAAGAGACATCAGAAGCACTGCAAATGCAGTATTTCGTACATAGTGGCAAACCAGAGCTTTTTTGGAATCAGTTCATTTTTAATTTCCTCAACAACTCAAGATTTAAACCAATTTCTTAAGTATGATACCGCTGGTATCCGTGATAGGGTAAACGCGGTATATTCCGACATCGTGGATAATTCCGTCACCTCTCTAGTTTTTCCTTTATATTAAGCTTTGTTTTAGTTCCATGCGTTCGTTGATGGTTGAAATGGTTGTTGTGGGAAGCCCATTCAGCAATACTGCAAGGAAGTAGGATTTCCTACTAGGGGTCCTGCAAACCCCCCTCTAAGTCGTACAGCTCAACGGAACTGCAACGGATCACACGCTTTTCCCCGGTAAAATTAGATGAGTTTAGATGATGATGATTTAACTGTTAGATTTCGGACTGTGATTATGTTCAGCTCACCTTTTTCATACTAGAGATAATTGTTAAAGTAGAATGTGAACATAAATTTCTCAATTTAATATGAAATGTATCAGTGTTTCATTACAACCCTCTCTTTGTATTTTCTTTGCCGTAACGCTTCCAAAAAAAAGAGAACCTTATTCACGTGCCAAATCCAATGCCACTCGGAAACCAACCTGACAAAACGATAAGTAATGAATACCGGTATCTTGAACCTGAACCTGAACGTAACATAAAATAGGTGGAGTAATCACTCCGATTCACCCAACTTTTAAAAGATATGAGACGATAGGAAACGTCTTCTCTCTCTATAAAATATATCATATACTTTATTAAAAATCCCTATTTAATCAACATCGCAGTTTTTTACTTTGTATGGGTTTGATTGTCATGATGAGTTTGATTTATAAAATGAAGCAAATTGTTTTTAGTTTTCAAATTATTTCGACAATGAATGGCAGAAATGTATGTGCGAGCATAATTTCTTTGTCTTGAAAATGCTTCTAGTGTATATTAGTTCAAGTTTCCTAAATTGTCCCTTGCTTCGAAGTTGAGTAAAGTTGAAGAATCAAGCATGTAACTTCCGTGGGTAAATCAACACTAAAATTTTTTTAAATGACTTTTCGTATGCATATGTGATGATCAGACGTTCATGTTTGATCATCACAAGCAAATAGCCGAGTTACATTTAATAAGAATGAGACTTCCATGCGAAGTTGAGTAATTAATATTACTTGTTTGTTTTCTTGAATTAAGTCAGTAAATATTACCTGTGGTGTTTGCTGTGCTTGGCGTGCAGGGAATGGCCGCAGAGGAAACGTCTTTCCACAATGGCACGCAAGTGTCCTGCACTGACCCAACTCCAGCTTGATTGCGACTGGTTTTCTGGGCCTCCCAATTTCAAGACATTCAAAAACTTGAAGGTAGGAAATTGTTGCAAGATTACGAGACTTTATTGGCAGAGACTCTTGACAAGACTACTGTTTGATACGTGTGTACGAAGATTTGTCTGATTAGTCGAAATCCCGAATCCTGATCAACTATTCCTGTCATGTAATTGTTAGTTTATCCTTTTTATGGTTTATTTGTGAGGCAAAACAGCTTTTTGTTGTCACAGGTGCTACATTTTCATGCTTCGGACAAGGATCAAATTGAGGATCTTCTCAAAAGCGGTCTGCCTGACCTCGAGGACCTCTGCATCGAGTTATCGAAAGAAGTTTTGCATGTGTTTGGGAATGAAATTGTAAGGGAAATAAGAATTTTCAGTTGAAACTTGACAACTTTTAATTGAAAAACCCTCAGGTGGGTCTTCTGACGCGTGTCTGTGCTCGTCAGAAGTCCTATGGGATTTCGCGCTCCTAGGGGGATTGTTCCTGAGCGCCCCACCGCTGAGCTCGCGGTGTCTCATTGCAGGTCTCAGTTGTGGGGTTAAGTTATTATGTAGGTAGGATTCCTTACATTAAGTTATTATGTAGGTAGGATCTGTCTCTTATACACATCTAGATGTGTATAAGAGACAGGTATATTAACACGTGCTGAACTTTCAGTAGAGACAAATTTTATTGTTGCCGTTTGACTGTTTAAGGGTAAAATTAGAGATTTGGGGTAACACGTGCATAAACT